TACTGTTTGGTAGCACAGAGCGTCAAAATGACATCCAGGCGGGTAAGCAAACAGCAGGGGGGGGGGGGATCCGCTGTGCCATGGGATTTAGATTAGTTAAATCCTGCTTTCTAGCTAATATAAATCATGTGGCACAACTGATCATCAGGAAAAAAAAGTCAAGGCATTTTTTTTACTACTGGTTCGGATAAACTGCTGGCATCTTTACTGCCAGTTCAGGTGAACTGGTCCGAACTGGTAGCATTTCACCCCTGCCTCAGTCCAATGGTAGATTTTAATCTTTCCTTGTGAACATTCATTCCAATTTGTACAATTGGTCTGTACAAGATTTGGGAACATTTACTGATCTGGTTTCTCCTTCAGAATTTGGAGCATCCTTAATTAGTTATTTGACAAGAATGGGCTAGAGCAGGGGTCTCCAAACTTGGCAATTTTAAGACTTGTGGACTTTAACTCCCAGAATTCCTCAGCCAGCCATGCTGAGACACCCATGGTGGCTGGGGAATCCTGGGAGTTGAAGTCCACAAGTCGTTTTCTTTCCTTTTCCCTTTCACCTTTGGGAGAAGAGAAATGTCAGTAATCTCTACTCATTACTGACCATCACAACTGCTGTGGTGATGTATGAGATCATTATAGCCTACAACTGTCTTCTTGAGCCATTAAAAAAAAAGTCTCTCTGTCGGTTGCTCTTTGATTAGTTTTCTATATGATGGAAAAAGGAGAGGCTTTGAAGTATCTTTTTTTTAAAGGGTAGGAATAGGAAATGATTAATGATATTCAGGGGTGGGCTTCAAAAATTTCAGCAATGGGTTCTCTGCCTGGTTGCTGGGTGGGCGTGGCCTAGTTGGCCTCCTGCACCATGGTGGAGGGAGGTTTTTTCACCTTCCCAGGTTCCGGAGGCTTTCCTCGAGTGTCTGGGAGGCTGAAAACTGCCTCCCCCAGGCTCTGGAGGCCCTCCGGAGGCCAGAAACATGCCCATTTATCACCTTCCAGAACTTCTGAGAGGCCCGTTTTTCACCCTCCCAAGCTTCCACGTGGCTCCTGCATCCAAAATGGGCTGCATCTAAAACGGGCTGTGTGGAGACTCCTCGGAGGGGCAGGGCAGGGCAGGATGGGGCGGAGTGGGTAGAGCCAGACAGGGTTGGGATTTGGAGGTTCCCTGAACCAGCCATAATGTTAGCTATGGATTCTCCCGAACCTGGGCGAATTCGTAGCAGCCCACCCCTGATGATATTCGAATCAAAGAACTATCAAGGGAAACAAAACATCTCCCATCAAAACTGGCAGGGCAAGCTGCTATATATAAACAGGGAACAAATTTGCATTGATAATGTAATGCAATGTCTGCAAGCAAACAACCAAGCTCAGAGCATCAAGGACTCCGCCAGGGACGTGCAGTCAGGGGAGGCAGGGGAGGCAGAGCCTCACCACTGTCATCATGAAAAGAAAAATAATGTGAAAGGAAAAAGGCAAGAGCTGAGGTCAGGCTGAGTTAGTTGCTTCCAGAGTCACCGTGGATGACTCTGCTTAATTGTTTAAAAAAGCCTTTAAAAAGCACCCTCTACAGGAGGAGGCAGGAGAATGATGTGCCTCACCTACGTCAGGGATTTTTATACTTTTAACCCTTGCTTAACTCTTCTTGATTGATCATAAAACGCTTAAAGTCAGACTAGATGAGGCAGTCATTCTCCTGCCTCCTCCTGTAGAGGGTGCTTTTTAAAGGCTTTTTTAAACAATTAAGCAGAGTCATCCACGGTGACTCTGGCAGCAACTAACTCAGCCTGACCTCAGCTCTTGCCTTTTTCCTTTCACATTATTTTTCTTTTCATGAT